TGAGTGCCGAGAGGCGTTTGGATGGAAGATGCTAGAAGAGGACAAAGCATGACTGCCTGGTTCTTTCCAGGCTGACACAGATGTTAGCAGCTGGACTGCCCTGGGACTTGGAGTACCCTAGACCAAGAGTCCAGCCCCAAGCATCAGAACTAACGAGCCCGCGCACTAAAGGCAGAAGAGAACATGCAGCCACGCCAGGCCAGCCAAAGACCCAGACACTACCAGGTAAAAACTCACCACTGTATTTCCCAAAGACAGATCAGAACTAAATGCACAGGAGACTGGAAGCAGAGAGGGGCATCTGCAACTCAACAAAGCATGCAGGGTCAGCCAGGAAAGCAAGGAGAAGGGAGAAGGGCCATGCACTAAGCGAAAGCCGCACCAGGAGAGAGTCCCATCAGCTGGGCAAAGTGGCACAACACAGATTTGGCAGGCAGGGAAGGGAGAGTTGGGAGGGTGGGGAGTGAAAGAGAATGGGATGGGGGAAAAAGAGAGAGAGGGAGAGAGAAAGAAAGAAAAAAAGAGAGGAGACAATTTTAATAAATTGAAAGTTGTATCTACCTCAGCACCTCCGAGACAGAGGAATCGCTGTCATCAGACCTAGGGGCAGAAAATTAGCAGGATTATGGGAGAGAAAATCCCAGACAAGAAAGGCAGCAGCAGAGTCAGAGTGGAGGGTTGTTATTGCATCTCAGCAGGTGGGGCAGCGCGAGACAGGAGCATACACAGAAACCAGGGAAGAGAGGGCAGAGGAGCAGGAGGGAACATGTGGATCAGGCAAGAGACCTCTCAGTCTGCTGTAAATCTGCTGGACTCACGCAGAGGCCAAGGACCATCCTGAGCATCTTGTGTGACCTTCTGCACAGCACAGGCTGGAGAATTGCCCCCAGCACCCTCTGCCTTGAGCCCACAGCTGGGGATGGATGAGTCTTTCTAAGATCCCTCCACCCTGTTCACTATCCAAGACAAACCCCTCTATTGGAGGGCAGTCCCCCCACCCCCCAAGCCCCATGTTTTGCACACATGAGTGTAGGAAGAGCCAGAGAGTAATTCAGTCCCCCAAGAAGCACTGAGGACAGTGGTGTCCCTGACCTACATACACCATCGCCACCACCTGGAGAGCCTGCCAGTGCTGCAAGTGCACCAGCTTCAGGCCAGCAACACCGTTTGGCTTTCTTCAGGGAGACATAAGGCAACTGCTGTCAGAGCCCTGGGTGCTCTGCACCATTGCTTTGCTGCTCCCTTGGAGCTGGGTTCAGGATCTGGCCTATGAATTTTCAGGCTGTCTCAAGGTAGCTTGTTGCTCTGTGGAAACCACACAGACACGGAGAGCACCTCCACCCACCTCCCCAACACAGCCCACCAGGAGTCAACTCTGCCTGGAACCCCTCACCCCACAGGTGCCAGGAATCGGGGGCCTGACCCAACCACCCTTGCAATCAGTAGGAGCCCTTCTGAGGAGCCCTGCGGTGGCTGAAGCAGGCTCAAAGTGGGGGGGCGGGATTTGACAGGCATTCAAGGTGCATACCGTAGCTGGTGCCCCCAGCATCTGGGAAGTGGCTTCCCTATTCCTTAGAGATCATGTCAAGACCCCTCTCCATTCCTAGCATAGGGGCCTATACACATCCACAGGGAGGGGATTGTGGATATGGCTGTGAACTGGTGCTGGCTTCCTCTATATCCCCTTTATAGATTAAGCCAATCCCATGTGGTGAACTTCCACCCTGGGCAGGGACCCAGCACAGCAGCCACCAACACGAATTGGGAGCAAGAGCTGATACTGCTGGAGCTAAAGACTTCCAGCCCCCTAGTCAGGCTATAACTAATCCTATGGCCTGTGAAGGGGCACTGAGGGGACCCATGACACACTCACCATAGGGTTACATGTGCACAAGGCCCAGCACATGTGGACACTGTGCTAAGATCTCCAACAGCACTATAACAGGGCCCAAGTAATGGCAAAGCCCAGCAGGCCACTGCTTCTGGATCCCCAAACCCGAGCTTTTTTTCTCCTGCCTGAGCTCAGGCTCCAGGCTCATTAGCCCTTGCCAGTGCTGCCAAGGAGCCGACATGAGGTCACTAGGCAGGGCTGAGTGATCCCAGTATCCATGGAGATACCCACAGCCCTGGTGCCACCCAGGGGGGCTGTTACCTTGCATGGGGCATTAATGCAGCAGCTTGCCAACTCACCCACTTCACCTACACTGCTTCAAAAGTCTGGGGCCAAATTGGATTTGTGACTTGATGCGTCTCCAGTCAAGCCCTTGCAGGTGACCATTTCTGATGGGGGGCGTCCCTGCTGTGACTAGCAACACTGGAGGGGGTGTTGGCTCCTAGGATCCCTGCTGGACCACTGTAGTTAGAGGATAGTGAGGCAGAGTCCAGCCTGGCTCCCACATCAGCTTTACCATCAGGGAAGGCCCAACAGCAGGTGTGGAGGGTCAGAGCAGCAAGAGCCCAGCTGGGAGTCCATGGTTTTGGGGTCATTCCTGGTACTAGGTGCTGGACTACAGAGGCCTTGTCATTTGCTGCCTTGCTATTGAACACCCCAGAGCCCTCCCACCCCACAAGGGCCTTACTTGTCCAGAGCAGACCCCTGGCTCTGGCTGCTCGTGAGGCGGGAGAAGACATTGCGGTCATTTCGTGGCCTGGTGGGAGGGGATGAGGGAGGAGTGAAGCCAACGTCCGAAGTCCTGAGTCATGTTGAGAGAGACACCACAATTACACACCTGCCTGAAGGAAACGTCCTGTCCCCCAACTCATTCCTCGCCAACACATCGGCCACCCCGCCTCCAATCCCCCATGTACAGCATGCAGACCCTCGCTAGGCAGCCATCAGTGCAGCCCATTCACTCCCCCAGCACCCCAATGCTGGCCTGCCACCTCCACTCCTCTCCTCCTCTTCAGCCCTAGCTTCCTCCAGGGTTTACCTGACAGGCTGTCCACGGTCATAGGATTTTCTCCTGGTCAGAGGTGAGGTGTCAGAGCCGCGAGACTGCCTTGGGCTGGACAGAGTGACAACAGGTCAGCAAGCCCCTCATGTTGGCAGAATGAGAACCAGCCCCTGCCCCTCACCCATCCCAACAGGGGTCAGCTCAGAGGACCTTGCTAAGCAACAGAGAGGACAATCTAGGTATAGGCAGGAGGTTTGAGTCCCACTAGCACATAAGCATGGATCCAGGGAGCCACAACATTGCCTGGCCTTGCACAAGTCTGATGAAACTCTGCTAAGAGAGGAGGCAAATCACTAGGCCTTGGACACAGACTGTCCCATTATCCTGCAGAGGTTGTTTATAGGGGATCCCAGTTCTTCCCTCTCTTCTCTGGTCCCCATCCCTGCTGGTAGCCAGCACCTATTTCCTATCCATCCAAGATGGCAATGCAGGCATTCTGAGGTCCTGTGGGCTGGAAGCACTTGCCTCGCATGCTGCCTGCAGGGTGAGGGCTGGGGTACTGAGACACATTTGTGTTCAGGTCCTCAAGACCCCATGGGCATTTGGGGCCTAGGCTGCCCAGGACTTACAAGGTGCTCCCACGGGTGGGCAGGCTGATGGTGCGGGACACCTTCTCTTTGTAGTAGGGATGCTGGATGGAGAAGCCAATCCCATCCTCCTTAATCTCCATGAGGGATGCCAAGGACTTGGTGATGTTCTTGGTGGAGATGTCCAGTGTGGGCCCCAGGCACTCAGCTGACACAGCCTTCATCTGTCCCGAGAGCTTGGGTTCTCCCTAGAGCAGGGTACAGAGAGAAGAGGGCTGAGGGATTCACTGCTCTGTGGGGATGAACTTGTTATGCATTCAGTGGTACATTGTATTTGCTATTTCAGGAGCCCGAGATACCAAGGCTCTTTCACTATGTGCCTCCAGCAGCCTCTTCTGCTGCTGGATGCCAAGCCTAAGTCTGTCTGAGGCAGCAATACAACCAGGAGCTCATTGCCTGCATTTGCTTTCCACAGGCTTGCTAGTGAGGATAACAATGACCCTCAGTGTCCGGTTGTTCTCTGAGGTCCTGCAGGCACAGTGACATACCCCCCCTGCCTGGAGGAGTGTGCTTTGCACACCCTGGACACTGCACACACTTCCCTTGGCATTCAGATCTGCAAGAAGCACAGAAGTAGTTCACAGAAACCGCAGTACAAACAGCCCAGCAACAGGGCACTTAAGCTTTTCAGTGGACTCCAGTGCCCCAGGGAGCCCAATAAACATGGAGGTCCAGCCACCAGCTTGTCCCTAGCAAGCCAGACCTGCTGCTGTTAAAGTTCTGGCGCCACCCCTCTTGGGTGTTCAGTCTAGGGTTTTCTCCACCAGTGCAAAGTCTTAGACCCCACAGTGGGGTCACCATCCCACCCAGCTGCAAAGCATAAGAAGGGAGGAGGTCTGATGAGCTGAGCTGTGGCTTTGACCTGGCTCTTTTACCCCCATGATAGGGCTTTGTTCAGCTGCACAGCAACGCGTGCTGTCTGGGATGGTGAACTCACCTTAAACTTGAAGTCATCCTGGCTGGCCGAGCCCTTCATGGAGAAAGACTGGGAGAAGCTGTAGTGAACATAGAAGGTTAACAGTCAGCCCTCTGAATTTGTCTCCAGGGAAGCAGACTGAAGGAAGAAGCGCCCTCGCAACTCAACAACAGAGTCCCCACCTGGCGAAGGTTTCTCTTCCCTTCCCCAAACTCCTCCCCAGGATAAAGCCTAAGATTCCCCCCTTCCCCTGCAGTGGGGAGACCTCTCCACTCCTACCCAAAGTAGTCACTTCCCAGCTCCTTCTTGCCCTTGCCCCTTTCTGGCCCTGACCCTGGCTGAAGCAGCAGCCCCAAACCACACCATTCTCCTCCTGCTACCCCACTTCATAGGGTTGAGCAACCTTTCTCCCCAGATTCCCTGCCCTGACCCCATCAGAGGCATTCTGGGCTTTGGTGGGGAGCAAATGTGGGGCACACCAGCCTCTCTGGATGTACTCACCTCCCCTCTGAGGCCAGGCTGAACTCCGAGATCTCCTCATCTGTGCTGGCATAGCCATTCTCTATGCAAGGAACAGGTACTGTCAGTGGTGCAGTAGGAAGGTGGCACCCCTCCAAGACTGATCCAACCAGCACCAGGCAGCAGGAGGGCTCAGATTAGCAAATGGGCTTTTAGGAGATGACAATGTCCCCTCCTGAGAATCCCAGACACCAGAGTAATTGTTCAGTTGACTCCTGTGTCCCCTCACTGCTGGACAGAAGTCCCTTGCCTGTGCTTCTACAGCAAGGTGGCCGACTACTGCAGTCCAGGGGATGTTGGAACAATCCCTGAACCTGCAAGGGGTCCAACTAATTCCACATCCCACAAGAGGGTGGGAACTCCCTGGCAAACACCACTTTCAGAGGCTGGGAAGTACACACTTCTGCCAACCCCAGGCAGAGGTGCTGCCCCAACCAGTGCTCCTCCTCCATGGCCAGGCATTCCTAGGAGCTCCCAGGAGGGAAAGGCCCCATGAGCGAGGCACCCACCTTGCTGCACATTGTGGATGAGTGCCTGCAGCTCAGGATGAGACTCTGCCTTCTCCCGCAAGGCGTCCAGGATCACGTGGTTCTGAGAGGAGCTGGTCACGTCCGTCTGCCTCAGGCGCCCCTCCAGCAGGCGGATCTGGGCTTCTTTCTGAGCCACCTGCAGCCCCTGTGTGGACGGAGCAGGCAGGTAAACCTCAGCCTCACACGCAGAAGGGCCTTGCAGTTGGGGCAAGGAAGCAGGATTCTTGGGCTCAGCTAATTCCACCCCTCAGCTAACACAGACCTCGCACTTGGGTTTTGTTCAGTTACTTTTTATAACCCATGTACCATCGTGACAACATTCACCTGACAGGCTGTTTCACCTCTGTGCCAACAGAGCAGGATCCTTTGCCAGTCTAGGTCAGTGGTGCCCAACATTTTTCCCCAGCAGGCCAGGTGAGCAATGCCTGGTTCATCCACAGCCTGGATCCAGCCCCAACCCAGTCCCACATGGGGAAAGGGAGTATGGCCCAGCCCAGCCCAGCCCCAAGGGTGGGGTGGAGGAAAAGGAGGCTTGGCCTGGCTCTGACCTGCCATGCAGGGCTTGGGGTTTGTGAATTTGGCAGGGGAGCAGGTGGCCACATTAATGGTCACCACTCCCATGCCACCAAATTTCCAGACCTGTTGGGAGCCCTGACTTCCAGCTATGATGACTCTGTGGGTCACATCTGGCCCATAGGCTGAAAGCTGAGCACCCCTGATCCAGGTCAATGCAGAAGGACATCAGACACCCAGCCACAAAGCTCCAGATCCTGAGCCACCACCATCACAAGCCACCACCACCACAAATCCAGATTTCAGGACTGGACTTGGCCGGTCACTACTGAGATGAGAACCCATGGGAGGCTTCCTGGTATCATCTGCTCAGCCACTTCCACAATCCCTAGCAGCACCCTTGCTGCATCCACAGGTCTCAATCCTCACCTTATCAATTGAGGCCTTGAGGAAGTTGTCCAGCAGGAGACGTGCCTCAGCCAAGGAGCACGAGCTGATCACCACAGAAGTGTCAATCGAGTCCAGCTCTTCCTGCAAATCAGAAGACCCCCAACAAGGAGGGGAATTAGAAAGGTGAAGTCATCCAATGGCCAAGATCCCAAAAGGCAGAGCTGATATGTCCATGTGTGGGGTGACATGATCAGCACCCCACACATGGACATACACAGGCATGAGGGCATATGTTCTCCACACAGCTACCATACAAGTAGTGTGTCAAAGCTGAGTGTGTCAAAGTGCCAGCCACCAGTAATCTCACTTAAACCCTCATCTAACGATTGTCTACACAGATCTCTGCCCACCCCCAACCAGAGAGGAGGTGCTCTCTGTGCACATATAGGACCCAGCCTGGCTCATAGTCTTGGCTCAAACTGGATGAAGCTTTCTTGACTGGTATTCAAGCAGATTTATGCTCCCAAAGCACTTACTTTTCCCTATCATCTATAAAGCACTACACTCACACAAGCCACCACCACCACAAATTCAGATTTCAGGCCTGGACTTTGGCTAATGATGCTGAAGCCCTTCCATTTATGAACCTACAAATAACACGCAACTCAGGTCTCATTGTGCCCTGGGTCTGTTGGGCTCTCACTTATAACAACATCCCAACTGTGGACTGAACCACACGGCTCCAGCACAAAGAAAAAGACCTTCTACTGCTTAGTTTACAGGGCTAAGTCACTGACTAGAAGAAACATCTCCTGACCGGTCTATTAACGGGACAGTCTAATCGATCTACTGACGGGAACCAGCCACTAGAGGGAGAGCAAAGAGCTGTACTAGGCTCCTTGGAGTTGTCTCCCAGCCCCAAAGACTCAGTTTGCCTGCAATCTTCCTTCAAAGAATTTCTTTTATGAAAAATCGTTTTGACAAAAGACCTCCAAAATTTGCCCTTAAAAGTCTTGCAGAAGTAAGTTTTAGATTTCTGAAAAGTGAGAAGCCTGAAAAATGTTAAGCTACTAAAAACTTTAGAAAAAACAAGAAATCTATAGTTTCCTACTGGGGGGAAAAAAGAAAGCTGTATTTTATTCATGGGATATGGAAAAAAAAGTTTGGAAGTTTCCCCTGAAACAGCTCTCGATACTTTTAACTAAATCCTTGTACTAGGCCTAGGCTCAGTTCAGAACACAAGACCATCCCCAAAGGCCTTGGCTTCAAACTGAGCTATACAACATCAAGGGAGTCGTTGAGCTTGGGCCAAGTCATTTCACCTGGGAGGTTGTGTTGCTGAAGCCCATACTTTAACTATGTTTGAGCTCCGACAGGAGCCCAGCTTCGTGAGGAGGTGCTCTCTGTACACATACAGGACCCAGCCTGGTGAGGCCAGACCACAGCCACGCTTATCCCATAGTTCTTCGTGTCCTCTGATCTGCACCCCAGTGCGAAGCGAGTCCCAGCAACGATACTGGGCCTGAAGACTGGCAAGGGAGGTTGGGTGTGTGGCAGAATAGGGGAGTCAGCAGTTCCTTCCACAAACAAAACAGTCCAGGCCAGGATTGAAGGGGACTGTGAATGGTGATGATGACGACATTTAGGTGTCTCCTAGATCCTGGTCTGCAGAGAGCTATAGACTCTAATTCCCATCACAATGTAGCTGATTCATGGTCCCAGACGCCCTAAGACCATTTCCACCACATTCTTTGGCCTGACTCATGGGCTAGGGTAGCCTATTGCACCAACATCTGCAGTGGTCATGAGCACGCCAAACAGAGCATTCACAGACCATGTTACTGGACAACCACAGTGAGCAACAGACCTGCAATGATGGAAAATACTGTCCTTTCTTATTAAGTCTGCATAGGAAAGGGGTGTGATGTAGCAATTCTTAGCAAAGAACTAGGATTCCTGGGCCCTTTCCTCAGCTCTGCTTCTGAGTGTGTGACCCTGGCAGATCTTTCCAATTCTGCTCAGTTCTCCTGTCCATAGGAAGTGGGAAATGGTAATACTGCCTTGGGCCTTTTCATACAGGACCCTTCCCCTGCTCCCACCCCACCAGAAGTCTCCATTCTTCTCCCCCCACCACCTTGGTCTCCTCGATCTGCATGATAGTGGCCTGGCAGTCAGAGATGCTGTCGTTGATGTAGTCTATGTTGGCTGTCAGTGCCTCAATCTCCTCATTCAGCTCCTGCAGGCCCTTCTGCTCCTCAGGACTCTCAGCCTGCAGCTTCTCCCTCTTCCCCAGCAGTACCTCTTGCAACAGGGACAGTTCCTCCCGTTTCTGCAGGGCAGAGGGATGGAAAGGAACCAAGTTCATCCAGCACCACCCAGGCATTATCAACATACCCAGCACCCCCTTGTCCTGCCCATGCTCCAGCCACCCCAACCTTGGCAGCCCTCCAGGCAGCCTGGCATTCCCAGAAGAACCAGCCCCTTGTCTCACCTTGATCAAGCGCTCCATGTCAGCCTCCAGGTTGACGATGGTCATCCTCTGCATGACAATGTCAAAGATGCGCCGCTCCAATGACTGCCACTTGAGCCGAGCCGCCTTGTTGAAGGTCTGGCTCATCCCCTTCTTTGGGAACTTCTTCCTGCATGGGAAGGATAAGAGGTCAGGGCACTCCAGCTGCTGTAATCTTCCTGCATAACCACTCTGGCCAGGTGCGAGAGCAGTTCTTGCCTCTGCTTGAAAGGGGCTTGCAGACAGACAGAGCCTGAACTCCAAGTCCTCAGACACTTTGGGGGTTGTGCAGAAATGGGTATTACCCTCGAGGCACCCACCTGCTTTTTGACAGACTACTGCCAGGATGCCCAGGTCTTTTCTTGCCTCTCCACTCCTTCAGGGTAATTCAGTTTTAAAGCCACACTACCCAAACTTTATAGACTGCTTTTCAGGCACTGTTCAACATGTCTGCATGTGCTCCAAGGTGTCTTAGGTAAGGGAGCTACACAGCAGCAGGAGAGACCAGAAAGCAAGGACACTAGCTGGAAGCCTCCTGTTACTCTGCTGCCAAGAATGGCAGGGCAGATTGATAGTGGTCAGGACAGAGCCAAGCCCAAAGCTGGGGAAACAGGGGGCCACAGGGTGGGATGGAAAGCCACCTGCAGTTGCAGAAGGGAGCCCAAAGTCAGGAAAGCAGGAGTGGTGGAAGGCCAGGTTGAGACATTCACATGCCAAATCTAGAGTGTCCTGCAACTGAACAAGTGACAAACCCAGCCCCACGTGTAGCCTGGCCTGGAAACCCTGCTGTACTCCAAACCCCAGGAGCTTAGGGCCCATCCCAAAGGTCAAGCAGGGGCCCAGGGCTGTGCGAGTCCTACCCAGTGGGTGGCATGGGCTGGGAAGGGCCAGCCTGTTCCCAGCCTCACCTGACAGGCCGAGCGCCATTCAGGGAGGGTGAAGGGTCTCCCAGGAAGTTGTTGATTTTCCGGTTCCATTGGCGCACGATGCTGGAGACAGAGCGTGACCCGGACTCCGGTTCTGATGAAGTGGTGCTGGCGGAAACCTCTACCCCCGAGTCCAGCACCGCCAGCTTATGACCTGTCCTCCCAGCGACCCGGTCCGACATAGGTTTGGCCAGGCGACGCAGGGCTGAGACCTAGGCAAGAGCAGCCCCTGAATGACAGGCTCAGACACACGAACCTCCCTCACCTCAGGGGATGTCACCTCCAAGCCACCAGCTGGCCAGGCCTCCAGCCCCAGCTGTGTCTCCAACTTCCTGAGCCACAGAGTGCCCACTAGCTCCAACTTCCTGAGCCACAGAGTGCCCACTAGCTCCTGTCTCAACTAAATGAGCATCGGGGCTGTGGTCTTCAAGGCAGTGCACCTTTCAACAGACCCCAAGCTATCTGGGGAAGGGAGGAGGCCCAGTGTCCTTAGGTGGCGCTTTCCTAGAACGCATCAGGATCGGCTGGGGAAATTAATGGGATCCAGACACTGAAGACATTGAATGTGGGATCAGAGAGTCATCTTGTGAGCAAGGCCATGTGGCAGCTCGGTGGCAGGGGAAGTGACCAGCTCTGCTCCGAGATGCAGTGGAAAGCAATGGGTCAGAGCAGAGTAGGGGTCCTGTCCCAGAAAGGGGAAGCAGCAGAGACAGAAGATCTGGGCAGGAGACACATTGCCCATATTCTGTCCTCTCCTGCCCCGTTTCCCACAGCCACAAAAATCACCTGACCCCTTGGGAAGTACACACACAAGGCCAAGTATCTCATCACAGGCTTGGCTTTATCTAAGTATCAGTCACTGGGACAGGGCCTCAGTGGAAGCAGACAGCACTGCTCTGCTCTGTCTGCAGAAAGCCTGGCAAGGGGTCTGGCCCAATGGCACAGTCCAGGGTGCCCACCCCATCAAGGCAGCAAGCAGCTCTCCTCTGCAGCCCAGGGCCGCCACTCACCTCCTGAGTCTTTCTTCGCAGCACAATTTCCTGCTGGCGTTTCTGAGACTCCAGAGCCCGAATCTGAAACTACAAAGACAAAGCACATCCCTAGCAGAGCCCTGATCGAGAGCAAAAAGCTAAGCTGGTCCCTGGGTGTTGGGGTCTCTGCTCTGCTATAGTGCTCATGCCTTCAGCTCAGCTCCTGGCTCAGTCCTGCCCTGCTGGCCCACAGGGGCTCCCCTGAAGGTCAGCCCAGCCCTACAGGTGCTCTTCTGCTGCTCACCCTGGCTGGGAGCTGCTCCTCAGCTTCGCTCTCCCAAGATACAAGGGCTGAGAACATGCATCAGAACAGGTTCATTCACAACTCTTCCCTCCCATCCAGCCCAGAGAAGCCTGGCTTGGGGCATCACTGCAGGGAAGGCTTGAGCCCAAGACACCTTAAAAAACCCAACCTCACTGCTCTCTTGCTGCCCCTGGGTCAGACACATCTCCCACTTGGACGCATTCCTCTGAGCTCCAGTCCTAGCCCAGCAGCTCAGCCAGCTCCCACCCTGGGTACTGCCCTACCTGTAGGTCACTGGAGGACTTGGGGCACTTACCTCCTGCCTGCGCTGCTCCTTCTTCAGCTGGGCAATCTCCCTGTTCCTCTTGGTCTCTGCCAGCCGCCTCCGCTGCTGCTCCTCCCGCATCTGCTTCATCAGTGCCACCTGCAGGGGGAAGGGCAGTTGTGCCATGGCACTCACTGTGCCAGGTCCAAGAGGAGGTCCCTACCCACAATTTCTAAGGGTAGTAGTGTAACAATGGGGTGGGCAAACTGGGCACATGCTCCAGGCACTGCATATGGCAAGAGGCACCAGAAGGACAGAATAAAGAGGGAAGGGGCACCTCGTCCTCTCATCCCCTGCACCAGCTTCAGGAAGCAGTGGCACAGGCAATGTGTGTATTATGGGAATCATAGTGTTATAGAGAGACAGTGGAGTTTAATCAAAGAGAAGTAAGGCTGAAAGGAACCTCAAGAGATCATCTAGTCCACCTGGGGATCGAACGTGTGACCCTGGTGTTATTAGCACCATGCACTAAACAACTTTGCTGCTGCTCCTGGGAGGAGAATTTTTTGCCCCACAAATCAGCAGTTTTTTGCTCTCTCAACATGGGCTTTGGCACAAAGGTTGTAGTGACCTCATTGAGTACCCAGGGCAGAGGCAGGAGAGCACATGGAGGTATGCCACCCACTGCAGGGTGGGGGGCAGGGGGCGGGAAGGCTTACGTTCCCGGGCTATAGCTGCTGCTATAGCAGCATCAGCTGCACTCAGGCAGCAGCAGCCTCATGGCTGGACTCCCTGGGAGCCAACCCTGGTGCCCAATTCATGCCCTTCACCCATACATCCATATGGGTGCAGAGCTGTAGCTGTTGTAACCCAGACTCCCAGGAGGCTCTGCCCCACCTGCTCCCTGCTCCCCCAGACATACTACTTGGTACAGAGCTGCTCCTGGCTTGGCAAAGACTCCTGGAGGCGTGATGCTGGTGCCCCCTCCTAGTTGGCATCTGGGTCTGGTACCCCACTTGCCTCATCCTAGTTACACTTCTGCTTCAGTGGCAAAAAAAGGGGTGAAAATTCCCACCCCTCCCCAGAAGCAATGAACTCCTCAGCCACCCTAGAGAATGATATCCAGACTGCCTTGCACTCCATGACACGCACTGCCTGCACCACTGCTTGCTGCTGTGTGGGGGAAAGGTGAGGCCTGCCCCAGGTGCATTCTTTGCATGTTATGCCCTTGCCTAAGGGTGGCCCTACTTAAATCAGGAACAGGAAGACCCCACATCTCAACAGCTAGGTGAGCTGGGCAGAACTACTGGATGAACAAGTTCTACGTGGGTAGCTGCAGGAGAGGTCCATGCCAATCTAACCCTCTGCCATCCAGGCCGACCCTCATCAGCACATGACTACCACAAGGGGCGGCACCTGCACACACTCTACCCATGCAGCTCCCATCGCCCCCATGGTACCTTTGCTTTCTTCATCTCTGCCACCTCAGCCTGCAGCTTCTTCAGCTCCCTCTCATAGCGGGACTGGTTCTTGAGCAGGCGGGCGTGCTCCTTCTGGGCTGCTTGCAGCTTCTGCAAGTCCCGGTTCATCTCCTTCAGCCGCTTCTCATAGTCGGCCTTGATCTTATTGGCCTTCTCCTCTGTGTAGCACTCCATGGTGCCTGGGGAGAGGTGCAGGGTTGCTGAGGGTACCAGGGGACTCTGCTGCATCCCTCATGCTCAGCCCCACTCAGGCCCCTCTCAAGCAAGCAAACCTGCCAGCCCTTATCAGGGAGGGCTTCGTATTGAGCCTTGGGCATCAGGCACTGAATCCTGCCTGATCCAGCAGTTCAAGAGACAAATGATGGGGGAAGCCTCACTTGCCCCTGTTACAAGAGCAAACACCTAAAAGCAGGGACCCGCAGTCTGAACTAGAGCTATAGCTTGGCAGCAGAGGCACCCAAACCAGGTATATACCAGGTAACAGTCCCACAAAGGGTTTGGCTAAGGCATACACAATTCACCTGCCAGCTACCATTTCATTCTAGCTCCAGCTGATGCTGGGTGACCCTCAGGTGAAACATGTCTTATGGGGCTTGGCCTGAGGCAGGACATTTGGTTACCAGAGCAGTGAATTTAGTATTGATGGAGAAACTTCTCCAACCTCAGAGAAGGCTCCTGGGACTGACAAGGACCACAGATATGGAGTCCTGGGCATGGGAAAGCTGTCCTGTTGCTCCTGCTCTAGGGAGCCACCATTCCCTCTCTGGGAGGGCATCAGGATCAGCTTAGAGATCAGCTCTTCCACAGACTCTGCAGCTTCAGGCATGTCACTCAATGCCTCAGTTTCCCCATGCATCCAAGAGGGATATAATTCTTTGTGGCCTGTCTCCTGTGTGGTAAGCACTCATGAATGCCTCTTCAGTGCTGTGAGCTCCTCCTCAAGGGGGTGTCAGGGAAGGGAAAGCACTCTCCACCAGCCCTGAGCTCACTGCGTCTCCAAAGTCAGCTGGCAGGCTGCAGGGGTGGAAGGTCATGGGTCCCCAGCAGTTTGCCCATCAAGGGATGGGGTGAGTCAAAAAGCACAGCACGGTGACTCAAGAGTAGCAAGGCAAGGCTACTCAAGAGTCGCAAGTAGGAAACCCTGGAAGGATCTGACCCAGGGGCTGGGATGCCTGACACCAAGCAGGAGTGGGGAGCTGCTTCCATTCAGGACTTGTTCAGTGCCAGGCAATTCAGAGCCCTCTGCTCTCAGGGCTGGCTGGCTGCAAGGGCCAGCATATGGGTGAGACTGCCTAACTACTGGAGGGGGCAGGGGTGGGAGGAGGAAGGGAAGTGTCCCCTTACTGAGGTTCTGCAGGACCCGGTCCCTCTCCAGCTGGGTGTCCCGGATCTTGTTCTGTAGCAGGATCAGCTTTTCCTCGTATTGATGCTTGAGAGTCTGCAGGCGCCGCTGGCTGTTCTCCAACTCATCTATCAGCTTCTGCTTGATCTCAATCTCACAGGTCAGGTCAGCCAGGTCAGCTTGGAAATTCACTGCTAGAAGCCAAGAGAGACAGTCACTGTCAGGCAAAGGGGGCTGGGAGGCAGCGGCAGGCAGCTACGTGCTTGGTGGGGATGGGGAGAGTGAAGGCCCTACCCTATGGCAGTCCCACCCAACCCAGACAGGGCAGCGCTCCAAGGTGAGGCACCTGGCTCTTGTGGGCTTAGCCTAAGAGGGCCAGCTAAGGGGCACAGCTGTGCCAGGGTATGGACACCTTTCATCATGCAGGCCTGTGCCAAGGGCTGCCAGCTCCAGCAGCACCACCTAACACCCAGAAAACACTTCTCCAGTTGAGGCCCTGCCACCTCTCCCCGCAGTTGTACTGCAGCCCCCCCCACCTTCTCCACAAAGCACTTGATGACAGCAAGTGAGCAGTTTCTGAGCCTGCAGCAGACTCTCTCAGCCCTAGGGGTCCCACGGCAGGTGCTGGAGATTCCCACCACTTGGAATCAGTGACCCAAGGGGACAGCACCCAGCCCCTCATTACCCTTCTCCTCCACATCAGAATCAGAGTCCACCAGGCTCTCGTCACTGCCTGAATCCTCGTCCTCATCTTCACGCCCATCCTCTTCCTCACAGCCACTTTCATCTCGCTCTTCCTCCTCCTGGGAGACAAGCTTATGGCTAGGACTGAGGCCAGGAGCCTTCAGCCTCCTCATCCTCATCAGCTCCAGGGCTCAGTCTCTTGTCCCTTCCCAATCCCTAATCTCAGGCAAATTAATGATGGTCTTCAAGGCAACAGTAGGAGGCAGAGGCAGGCTACAGTCGGTGACAGCTAGCTCCCCTGTGTTGGCCAATTCAGGGCCTCCTCCTCTCACCCTGCAGGAGGCACAGATAATTCCTCACTCCTTCCAGAGCAAAATCAGGAGGTGGGTATGGTGGAAGGGCTCATATGTCTGGAGAGAGCATCTATGGACAGGTAACACCCTCCCACCCAGGACAGCAGCTAAATATTCAGGATCCTGGGGGCCCCTCAAATAGAAGCTGGGAGAGGCAAAACAGGGACATGGCTCAAGGGATGGAAACCCAGTGGCACTGAAAGGCACATGGCAAGTTGTCCAACCCTTCCCACTTCCATGAGAACAAGGCACAGGCAAGTGATAATGTCTCCCTCTACCCTCAGCTCCTCAAGTCTAGACAGGGCCAGATAGCAGCTTCTACACAACCTACAGGGTTGTCTTTGGTGCTGGATTCCTGGCTACAGAGCATGCTCCCAGGACCTCCTGCATCTGCTTGCAGAGCCAGGCTGTGCCTCAATCCCCTCCCAATGGTGTGTCAGGGCTCTCTTCCACCAGGCAAGATGCTGAGAAGGTCATCAGTGTGGTGGGGCTAGTGGGCAGGCAACCAAAGCCCACCCACCTTAGCAAAGAGGAAGCCAACCACTTCCCTCACCTCCTCCGCTTCATTCTCATCCGTCTCCTCCCCATTCTCCTGAAGTAGCTTCTGCCTCTTCTTAAATGCCTCCTTCTCAGGGCTGAATAAAGGGAAGCAAGGTTTGAAGTGAGTCCCAGCAATGGCCCACAGAAAACAAACATCCCTAGGAGACACTGTCTGGGAGTCTAGTAGCTCTTCAGAAAACCAGCCTCCCAGGCCTCCAGCAAGACAGCTGAGCAGAGTTACAGGGCAATAAATGGGGGCAAGAGGTGTGGTAGAGATTCCCCATAAGGGCTGGTGGAAACCCAGACGCACAGCTAGGGAGAGAAGTCCAGGGAGCTGGCCTTCACCTTTTCCGCTGCTGCCTCTTCTCCTTCTTCTTCAGCCGTTCCAGGTCCTGCTTGGCCCGTCGGAGGACATCAGAGGCCTCTGTCTCCACAGAAGCAATAGGGCTGCTTACCACACCCAGGCCTGGCCCTGGAGATGACCCCAGGGAGTATGGGGGCCGCGAGGAAAAACGGGACAGGCTGCGGCGGAGAGACTCGTTCATGGACTCACTCTCCAAGAGCTTTGTCCTGTGGACAGAGAGGAAAGGGGGAACCTTGGTTACAAAAGATCTGCTGTCATCAGGGGTGTAGGATATTCAAGCAGCCCATCCCCCAAGGGAAGAACCCCCTGGAAGGTCTAAGGTGGGGTGATGGGTTTCTCTTCTGGAACCTGAACCGCACATGTCATCTGGGTCCAATGGCTCAGGGGATCTTCTCCCAGACTGGTCCCTGTGGATGGGTACAAGGGAGACAAGCACACAGGGAGATGCCAGTGTAGAAGGATGCAAGAGCCAGCAGTAGCAGGGCTCACACTCCATGCATGTAGCTTATGGGAGCCAGCAGCCACACAGACTCAGACAGGCCATGCCACAGATGTAGCATCTTCACTTAGGATAAACACAGACATGGGATTTCTCCCAGGACAAAGCCCTTTATCCGGGAATCCTACAGACGTACAAGCCCATTGTCCCACTTTAAGAACCTGTGTAGCAGAGGTGACACTTTTTTTCCCAAAATGATCCTGGCTATTTTAAGTTAAGCAGTGTGTGCAAATGACTGTCCTGCACCTGCTTTGATGCAAGTCGAAAGTCCAGACAACTAGACCAAAGATAAACCAATGTCTGTTTTTACCCTTGGCAATGTGATAGATGACAATCTATTGGCCACACTGCCTCAATGAGATGCAAGGGCATCTTGACACAAAGCCCAGGGCTCCCTTCTGGTCCTGAGAGGTGATGCAAGAGACCTGGAGAACACCACGAGGAAACACCTTGCTGCTGAGGGATTTCCTTCAGTGTCTTAATTGCAATGCTAGGATCAATCGGCACCCAAAGAGGTGTAAGGTTTAACCTTCAGCAACCTGTGCTTGGCAGCAAGCTATTCCTGGGGAGCACAGGTATCATATGGCTTTACAAGCAGGGGGGTGGCACCCTCAGTGGCAGGTAAGTTGGCCCCACTGTGCGGAAGCTGGAGGGGTAATGCTGATTGATGCTGGCTGAGAGTCCAGCCCAGAACGAATGCCAGGAGTTCTGTCTCCAGAGCTGTTGATTTCCACAGAGCCAAATCCATATTTATAAGCATTTCCTCTTCAATTGTGTTTACACAAATCCCTTCAAGGCATTTAACTCAGCAATTGGTCACAGCTCCACAGAACGTGCTGCCAGCCCTGCGCTGGCAGGGTAGGGCAGGGGCAGGAGAGATGCATGGGACAGGGAGGCATTTCCACCTCTGAGTCAAGGCTATTCTTTATATTGCAGTCACCTACAGACCTTCACTGAGATCAGTGTTACACCATGCTCAGTGTTGTGCAGACACCACAGGCCCTCCCTGATGACTTTACACCCTGAGTAGATGAGAGAGACAAGATGTGAGAGCAGAGGAAGCGACAGGTCCCAGGTCACCCAGTAGATCAGTGGCAGAGCTGGGGTTAGAGCTCGTTCTGGCAGCCAAAGTGCCAATTCAGTGCCCTACCTACCATCTCATGCTGTGTCTTGTAGCTCTTCTAGGCTTTGGAGATATGTAACCTAGCACAGAGGTTCTCTCTTATGCAGTGGGCACCCACCTGAGTTCCTCGATCTCCCGGATGTAGTTCTGGATCAGGGCACCAATGGCCTCATTGCCGTCACCTGGAGCAACAGAACTGGAGTCAGGCTAAATCAAAGGCCCCTATGAGAGGAGGCACTTCCCAGCCCCACGAGGGCCTAAGCCCTGGCCTGGCTAGCCTGAAACTCTACTCCATTGGGCAAGTAGTTCTAGTGATGCTTCTCTATGATTCCCTTCCCATACCCACAGAGCCATCAGCCTCACCTGCCTTGGCCAGGATCAGATTGGCCTCCTGGCTCATCAAGTGGGTGACCCTGTTGTTGATGGCATCTATGGCCTCCTGCATGGCTTTCACCCGCATGCGCAGAGTGTTGTTCTCTTTCTGGAGCATGGCGTTCTCATGGAACAGGTCACTGTAGCCCTCAGAGCCGTCCTCCCCAATGACGCGCTTACCCTGTGGGGAGAGGAGATGATGAGACAGAAGGCAGCAGGAGGTCAAAGCAAATCCATGGCATCCAACATTGTGGAATCAGCCCTACCTGCAAGGCACCCAAAGGCTCCACATTACAGAGGATGGGTGCCTCTATGGGCCCCCACAGCAGGAAGAGCAGAGAAGACTTAGGACCCTAGAAAGGGGAGTATTTAAAACAGGGAGGGTGCTCAGGGGGCAGCAGAACAGGGGCCACTTGCAGTTTAAATGCCTTTCCACCTGAGGCTAGCAGCCCGGCCCCCATACCCAAGAACAGGAGCGGGCAAAATGCAGCCTGCAGGCCAGTTGCGGCCCGCCAGGCCATTCAATCTGGCCCATGGAGCACCTAAAAGATTTATAAAATGAATATTTATCTGCCCCTAGCTGCCTGTCATGTGGCCCTCAATGGCTTGCCAAAACTCAGTAAGTGGCTCTCTGCCCAAAATAATTGCCCACCCCTGCCCAAGACATTCAGACACCTCCCAGTTTTGAACCAATTTGTTCTCATGCACAGCTGGCCAGCAGCACTCTTCCCATTGTACAGAAGGAACAGCAGTCAAGTGACTTGCCCAAGATCACAAGGAGTTTGTGGCTGAGCAGCAAACTGAACTCAGGTCTACTGAGTCCTAAGCTAGGGCACTAACCATTGGACCATGTTTCCTGCCTGCAGGGAGCACCTTGCCATGGGAGACACATGACTCAGCTCAACAGCAACCTCCAGATGAGTTAGGGTTGATGCTCATGCATGAAGTGATGTCTCTGATGTGCAATATCAGACAGCTGTCAAACAGGAGGATGTCCCATCCTGACTGAGACCCCTCAAATCTTTCTGTATGTTCAGAGTGAGATACCTGCTCCCTTATATTTCCATAGCCCTTTACAGATCCCAAAGCTAACTGCAACCTACAACACCCCTGAAAAGCAGCCAGCTTCCAGGGGGTGAAGTCCTAGGTCACAGCCTACATGACACTCAGCAGGGTGACACTGGACAAGACTGGCAGAGGTGGCATTGTCTATAGATAGCACCCAGAAAGACTTTGTCCACAGTAAAGAGCATTCAGTTCAAAGCTGAAGGGCTGAGTTGCTGCTGCTTGGACTGGAACCCATGGCTCCACAGAGTTTAGGGGTATCTGTACAGCAATGTTTCTCACTATTTTTTTTTTTTTTACACTCAAGGCAGCCTTCATTAGAATGTCAGCTCTTAGTTTTCACTCACTTTCTAACTAATTAAAAACAGAGAAACTCTTCAGGTTCTGAGCCAAAATCTCTGGGTTTATCCTGAGAATCATGTTTGCACACCTAATGGTGCTAACATTGCATGCCAACCCACAGCACCCTTGAAAGGATCTCAAGGCACCCCAGGGTGCTGTGGCACCTTGGTTGAGACTCATAACGAGATCATAATGGCAAGTGTGTCCACCAGGGGGACAGTCTCAGCACCCATAACAGCCTGCTACCTCAACCCAGTTACCAAAATCCCTCCTTCAGCCCAAATGGCAGCTTGGTGCTGAAGATCCTGGATTCAATTCCCACTGATGACCTTTGCTGCTGATGTGTACACAGCTGCAGTACCCGGCACTCCACCTGCTCATCCACCCCTTACCGCTTTGTACTCCATGAGCTCCATTTGGAGACGGGCGATCTCAGCCCTCAGGGCGCTGATCTGCTGGCTGGTCTTGTCCTGATTCACCACCACCTTGTTCTTGATGTTGCGGGCCCGGTTGGCATACTTGAGTGTATTCAGGGTCTCCATGAAGTCCCGGTCCGAGGGGCTCACACAAGCAATCATGACGGTTTGGCTGGAAAGGATAGAGGGTGCTAATGAAAAGACAATCCCTCCCTCTGCTGTGCCCCTGGGGCTACAATGACATGGGATTGGGTAACTGAGGTTCAGCCATTTTGAATGGTGGCTTTCCATTGGGACCAAGCTTGGCAATTTGAGTCAAGAAACCCCTTTGGCTTCCATTTACTTTCTCTCTCCCCCAACCCAATGTAATACTCTATAATTTGGGGTGAGGGAATATCAATCAGGTCTTGCTTCTGATTATTATGGGGTGAGCTCACAGTACAGGATGCAGCTGGCTTAGTGACAGCAAAGACCTGCACCAGCCTTGCTCTCTGCCTTCAAAGTGCTATCAGTGGACCCAGCCTGACGAAGCCACTGCAGGGCATTATACAGGCAGATGGGTTCCTACAGGGAGAATGGCACCACGACAAGGAGGTGAGGTTGAAGCTCTCTCATGTTGAGAGGGCTGCTGCCAAGTCCCAGATGGCTAAGGGCTCAGCCGGATTTTGCAAGAGCTAATTCTGCAAAAGCTGGATAATTGCATCTGGTCCTTGGGAACAAGAAAGGGACAAGACATTTACATTTCAAAGGCACCACTGAGTGGTAGCCAGGCGGATCCCCTAGTTCCTCATCAACCTGCCACCCCAGGAAGTCTACCCAGAACATCAGGTCCTTGAAAGACGCATCCCCTGCCCTACCCCACCCCACCCCATTACTCTGAACACCCAAAGCCCTGGTGGGTGGCACACTCTGGTGGGAGCCCCAGCTACAGACAGAGGCTGGACAACCTGAAAAGCCCTAACTCAAGGTGCCTGGTACCTGTTCCCCCCAAGGGAGTCCTGGAGGAGTCGAGTCAGCTTGGAGTCTCGGTAGGGCACATGCACCACTTTCTTGCTCTGGTCTCCGAGGGCACTGATGACATTTCCCAAGGCCAGCTGCAACACAGGGGAAAGGGCAGTGGATGCTTTGACTTGAAGAAGACCCTTTACTGAAAACAAAGCTCAGGGGTCTGGAGTCACCAACTTTCCAGTGCATAAAAGGGAGCAGCTTTGGACTTCCTACATTGGCAGACACACAATGCAGCTCCCTACTTCTGCCCACCTGCTGCCTCCACAACCCTGAGACCAGACCTAGAACTTCTACCTGCATGGGGACCTGCCCCATGCATGTGGTGGTGCTGAGGACTTGATGACAAGTTTCAAACCGCCAGAGAAGTATTTTTAAGGTTGAACTAGTATCAGTCCCACCTGGCTCAGCCTCTAGCCCCTACCTGTAACTGCCTCCCACAAACAGCAGTCACTGGGCACTGCCATCAGGAAGGGAGTGGGACCTTCCAGATAGGGGTAGGTTTGGGCACAGATAGTCCTACTCCATAAAGGCTGCACAGGATAGCTAGTGACCTCATGCATCCCTGCAGATCTAGGCAGGGATTTCAGGAGACAACTGTAGTGACTTTAAACAGCAGGCTGGGAGCCAGTATACCAGAGGGAACCTCAGGAATTGTCCATGTTCAGTAGGCCCAGGACACAATCCCCTTTACATCCATCACAGCCCAGTCTCATCTCTTCTCTGCTTCTAAAAGGGAGGCACCAATGGCTGTACCAGACCACAGTTGATGGAGATCCCTTCCTTGGCTCTCTCGCCAGTAGCACCCGTCCGCTTCAGCCTCTCTGAGCCAGCCAGGTCAACAAAATGGAACTTGGCAGTGAGGGTCTCATATTCGTTGGTGGGCTGGGGTCCGTCTTGGGGGCAGATCACTTCCCCATTCACCTGAAGTTCAAACACACCACAGAATGAGAGCCTACCTGGAGCTATAAGTCTCACTAGCACTGATCCCCTTAAGGCAGGCACCACTGCAAATCCAGGGCTGGGCATAAACTCAGGTATGGCCTTTCCTTCACTCAGGTCCAAGAAGGGCCCAAGCCATGGCACAAATCCTGCCTGTCAATATGTGGATCTGCCCAGAGACAAGAATCAGCAGCAGAGTTTTCACTAAGCTTCCCTGAAGGCAAGGCCCAGCCCAGCTTCTTCCTGCATTCTAGACCCAGGATCCCAGACAGCTGCCAACATTTGCTACTACTGCAGGGAAATAAGAGGTGCCAGTCCAGGTGCAGGTTTGCCAGCCTTACAGATCTAAACCTGCTTCCTTCCCACTGCCTCTTGGCTTCTGGACAGCCTGCAATCATAGCCAAGAACCACCCTGGCAAGTGATCATAGCCAAGAACCTCCCTGCCCTGAAATGAACTGGGAGGGGGCACCTGCTGCTTCCCCTGCCTCCCCCATTACTCAGCCTTACCAGGTCTGGGCGGGCACAGACTCTCATCTGGCACAAGTGGATGGTGAAGATAGCATGGGAACGGGAGCTCTGGACATTCATCTGGGTGCTGGCTGTTGTGCGGGACAGAGCCCCCTGCTTCAGGCACTGGATCAGCTGCAACAATGTGGAAAGGGTTAAGAAGAATCCCCCAAACAACGTGAGGAGAAGCATCTCCATATGGCCCTGCAAGTAGGTCCAACTGGAATGAGAAGCAGGCAGGGAATGTGTTTTAGGGAGCAGAAGGAAGGGCCCTGCAGTAAAAGCCTAGGAACAGCCAAGTGCATGAGGAATATGAGGCAGAGGTTTGGGCTGCATTCCTGTCTGAGTCTTTGGCAAAGCCAGACCCCAGGCAAGCAGGAATGGTGGAAACTAACCTGTGCTCTGCGGCAGAGGGCTTGAGACTCACCCAAGCATCATGTCAGGTGGCTTATTTATATTACACTAGATTCAGGTCTGGAAATGCTGGAGGCTATACGGAGACAGACGTGGTTCCAGTCCCAGAGTCAGAAAAGGTGGAGGGTGGAAGGGAATACTGAGGCATTGAGGGGCTGGTGTCACAGGGTATCATCTCCAGTGATGGCCATGAGATCCCTGGAATCCCTTTTAGCCCTTGCTCACTCTGTTCTCATTGGGCAGTCACCCCTTCTCTCATCTGCCACACCTTGTTGTAATTTTTTTTTTTCTTTATATATAAAGGAGGTTGCCCCAGGGCTTCCCAGTCTGCTCTCAATCTCCCATGACTACCAGGTGTTTGTGGCTCTCACCTGAAGGGGTACTTTCATGGCTCTGTTCTACCCCTACACCACACCCCATGCTCCCTCCTACACCATGCCCCATGCCTCACAGTTTCCTCCAGGGGCAGATGACTCCATAAGCAGCCCTGGCCACAGCTGCAGGCTACCTCAGCACCAAAGTGGTAGGAGCACCAAGCCTCCTGCTACAGCTGAGACTTGCCCAAGGCTCCTCAAACATATCAGTGGCAGAACTAGGAATAGAAGCCAGGTTGCATTAGTCTTGGTCCCTGACTAGCACCCTTACCACTAACCACACTGCCCCTGTGGCATCCTCTAATGTACAGGGAGCTCTGAGCCAAATTCAAACCTTGGATCCACCCATACATAGCCTTGTATAATGCAAGAGGTGAATCAGCACCAGGCACCACACCGAGCAGTGTCTACTCCTATAGCTGCCTGAACCACTCTGAAACCTGTCCTTGGTGTGCAGTTCTGTCAAGACACCTGTGCGCCCAGAAGGAGGCCCCAACAGCCTGATTTCATGCACTTACATGCCTGGT